GTAGCAATGGCCTCCAACCAAAAAGCAAAAGGAACCTCAAAGCGATGTCCTCCACCGAAATAGGAATGGCCTCGGCTCCACCCAAGTAGCGATGGCCTCAAATCAAATAGCAAAAGGAACCGAAGAGCGATGGCCCCCCACCCTCCACCCTAGTAGCGATGGCCTCTAACCAAAGCAAAAGGAACCTAAGAATGATGGCCTTCAACCTAATAGGAATGGCCTCAAACCAAAAAGCAAAAGGAACCTAAGAGCGATGGCCTCTAACCTGGTAGGAATGGCCTCCACCCTAGTAGCGATGGCCTCCAACTGAAAGGCAAAACGAACCTAAGAAGGATGGCTTCCAACCTAACAGCAAAAGGAACCTAAGACCTAAGAGTGATGGCCTTCAACCCAATAGCAAAAGGAACCTAAGACCACTCTAGTAGCGATGGCCTCCAAGCAAATAGCAAAATGGAACCTAAGAGCGATGGCCTCCAACCTAATAGCACAACAAAACTCACACAAAAAGCATCCAAAGTCCGGCAGAAAAGAACGCGTCCAAGCACGAATTCCACCGACCATGCGGAAACGGGACCTCGTCGCGTTTCCAAATGATGGAATCCAAGCGGAAGAGTGGATCGCTGGCTTCTTCCCCAACAAAATCATATACATAATATAAGACGATCAGAAAACCCATCAAACACCGAAAGCAAACAGAAACCCATCAAGGTGTCTCCGTTTGAACAAATGTGTGTCCTATATGGGACTTTTTCTAACGGGTGAATTTCTGGGAAACCCACCGCGTCACGTTTCGCGTCTGTTCCAACCGTTCCGGAACTCCGGGTGTCGGACGGACCGCTGCGTCGTGGCTCTTAGTGTAAACAGGCCGCTGCTCAGCAGGCTCTGCACTCGGTCATGCGGCCAGCTATCTGTCTGTAGGACCGCCGTCCAGGACCCCGAAGGAGAAAACCGGTCACCGTTCGATCGATGGACGTCTAGCTGAGTCTAGCTGGTCGCTCACCTAGACTTATAAGACTTAGCTTGGACTTAGCTTTTTCAGATTCTGACATTGATTCTGAATTCAATTATTCTGAAAACTCAGATTCTGAATATCAATGTCTGAAATGTTGGATTTGAGATAAGTGCTTGATTTGTTCCAGAATAAGATCGGCATGGATTGCAAAAGACGGAAAATGCAGAGCAGCTGGATGTTGCAGCTCTCTTCTTGGGTGTTCCAAGCAGGAAGCTACTTGGATTTAGCCATATTTAGCCAACCGTGTTTGTTGGTCAACCTGGACATGGTTACCATCCTAGTTCCCTAAAAACAAGTTAACTCGCTTTTTGAAATGGCTATGGCTTATATAGCAACTCTTTGTTTCTGTTTTTGCTATGTTGGAAGCTCTCCCCAGTTCGACCTGCGTTCTTTGAATCCAGGTCGACCTCAAATCTCGATCTCCAACATGGCTCTATAGCTTTGACAAAAAAGACTATACACATACCCTCAGGGTCCAGGACCATCCGAATCGGACGTCCTTTTGGCCCCGGACCATTCTGAAGTACGAACTCACCTCCAAAGACCTCAAAGGAGGTACCTGGATCCTATGGGTTAGTATATAGTTAAGTATCACTTAGTCAACTTACTTAACTGACTTGGACTTATGATGGTGGGCTTACAAGTCGAAGCAATGTCCTAAGTTCCAATGCTCAGTCCAAGTTCAATCTCAGCTAAATGCCATTCAGTTTACGTCATGGCCGGAGCATGTTGTCAGCATTGCCGCAGATTTGTCTTTCATGAATATTCCCTTTGTGGCTACAGTAAAACAAAACTGTCACAGTTTTATTGAGCAAATACTTGTTGAAAGCTAAAGTAAAAGGGAACAAACACCATAATTTGCTGTCACTCACTTGTATTCACGAGTCACGAGTGTCAGGAATTCAACAAATTCTGACACATATTCCATTTCAGAATAGACTATGTCTGACCCATGTCTGACCCAACACATAGGAAACCATTAACAATGCTCACGGAGCGTTTCAGCAGCTCTCAAATGTTTCCATGTCCGGCAAAAACTCCAGACTTAGCAAATTTGTATATCGAAGTCCAAGCTCAATCCAAGCTAAGTACTTGTAAGTGTGAGGTCGAGCCAAGTACTTGTAGCTGCTAACAGTTATACAGTTCCTTAGCTACGGTACTTTCGGTCAAGCAGTCCATATGTGCGACAGCATTTATTTGGTACTTGGCTTAAGTAGGAGGTCATGTCACAGTATCTCGCTCAGACTCAGACTGCTTTAGTAGCAAATCAAACTATCTCGTTCAGACTACTTTAGTGACATCAAACAAAAGTATCTCGTTTATGTGGGGGCTCTATCTCGTTCACAAGCGAATACTGATGATAGACAAGCAAATAGACCATGCCGTAGACTACTTGAGTAAAGCACTAAAAGTGGTTGCTCCAACCTTCGTCCACTACTTCGTCCGACCCCTTGGCACCATCACGTGCGTTTGAAAAACGGAACTGGCAACATCCTGGTTACGGTCGGTCCTGAGACAGGATGCAGTTCGCCCAAATGCAGGTGGAGCCAATGACCCCTGCTGGGGGCTTCTCCGCCGAGTTCGGTTGTTCACCAAGCTGGGACCATCTGAACAAACAAGCGAGTGCTTGTCAAAGACTGGATTGATTCGAACAAAATCCATAAGCCATCACTAATCCTGGCTGAACTTCCACAGTTCAACAGGCATGAGAAAATCCTGCATCTCCTGCTGCTGTTTGCCAGCATACCCCCCCGAAGCTGAGACAAGATCGCCGACCCAAATCCGAAGATTGGTCGAAATGAGTCGAAATCAAACCACGAACATCGCTCAAGCCAACAGCAAATGTCCCCCAGGAACCAAAAAGGGCACCCCTGCACTGGGCAAATCTAAGCCAGGCATATCCCTCACTGTTCACTCTCAGTTGGTGTCCATCGGGTAGCCTAGGGCCGGGCGTCGGCGAAAACCCCCACCCAATGGGTAGCCGCCGGAAGGAACCGCGAGGGATTTCCCTCGGGCCGAAAACCCCCGCGGCTTCGGGAAGAGGAAGCACCCACCCTGAGGATCGTTCCGGGAACGAGCTGAAGGAGACCCCGTCCCCATGGCACCTGAGC